AGAGATGTTCCGAAAACTGTAAATATCACCTTTTTGCACCTGGCCTAATCACTCTTTCCATATCAAAATCAGTTAAAATACAACATCCAAAAGATTATTTCACCTCTCTTCTTTTATTTCCACCCAAAAAAAACTAAGAAATGAGTGAGGAAGGGAAAGGAAAAAAATTAAGAAAAAATACACTCTAATTAAAAGGAACTATATTCGTGGACAACGAAAAGCGGGATCATTAATTGTGGTCTTGGGCCGAGTGTGTGATTTGAACTCTTTATTTTAGCAATTAGATTTTGCCTGTTTACCAATCATGCATATCGGTACACAGGTAACACTTATCTATAAATAGCCGAAACTCCTAAAATTTGTAAACACACACGTGATTATTTCACATTCAATCCAGTCGCCTTACGGTTTATACACGAAAACATAGGATAACACCGCGCCTGCTTTTTTCTTTTGGTTATAGATATTATTTCTTAGTAAGATAATCAAAAGGCAGCAAAAACATTAAAAACGGAGATATCCAAATCATTTACCGGTATTTTCAATTAATATTAGTTTACAATGGAATCTTTATCTCAGGGGGCGGCGGCACTTCGACCTTTTTATGGTAGGGATGACTAGCTGAGACATCCAATATCCCACCCTTTTCATATATTTTGAATAACAGAAGAGTCATACTTTTTTACAATAATTATACCTACATATAATATATATAGCTATCATTGTTACGCTTTTCATAGTGAGATAAATAGAGTTGACAAATTGTCTTAAGCATTAACGACAGTAATTTTAATTGCATCTGTAAAAAATATCGACATCTGATTAGTTTCAGATTCACAATCATCAACCTTCTTATATATTTCACCTAAATTTCTCTACCAGCGGCTCATCTGCTTCCACTCATTATAATACGTGCCCCCTCCACATACCCCTCTACCTATCTCTTCCTATCAAGATAGCAGACGTTGAAGAACAGAAGACAAAAAACAATTCCAAAGGGGAATATAAGAAGAATAAAAAAGCTACTCACAGACGAGTAAAGCAATTATACATGTATGCTAGCATATTTTAAGCAATATTAAATATTTATGCATGATTCAAAAGGAGATGTGAAGTATACATAATGTATTTAGAAAGCAACCCAATTAAACAAAAAAACAAACAAACAATATACTTCTAAAGTTCAACATACGGTCTTTTACAATAGACATGTCATTACATTATTTTAAGTTTTTTATCCTCCCAAGTCTAGATTCAATATGTAGCATAGTTGTGAATCCATGTAAAAAGTAAAATCACAAAAAAACTGAACTTCAAGGAAAATTCTAAAAGGAAAGTTCCTAATCAAATGGCAAAATCAAAAGCTCAAACACATCAAACGAATGGATAACAATGTCATATTCCTGACTTGGTACAGGCATTTTTTTATGTAGTAATTGGTGGATTAAACCTGGTTTTAAAGCTAGCTAAACCTCTCACATGTATGACAGTCGCATCAATTTCCATTATATTGACAACGATGTGTGAACAAAACATACAGACACAATAGGTAAAAATGTCACAAATAGGGGTACAACAGCAACACGAGCCCCAACAAAAACTAGGGGTGATCTCATGTACTCCGGAAGGGTAAGCAGATCCTCCTCCACATGTGGCACCCGTCTTGTTGCTCATGTTATTACAAAGCCGGTAAATAGTCTAATTCGGTAGGTCACATTCGTGATAAGGGAACGGGATGGTAGTAACGACATAAGGAACATATCCGATATCATCTGTGAAACGGATATTCCATAACGGGCAACCAACTCGTGATGGCGTCCGTAAAATTTACGAAGTGATGATTTCAACTGCACTATTTGGAACTCTTGGTTTAAAAATGAAAAGGTCACAATCGGGAAACTGAAATCATCTCTTTTGTCGTAAAGTTTTGTTTTCAACCGACCCTTATAGTCAATTTCTAGATATAAGTCCTAATCAAATGGCAAAATCAAAAGCTCAAACACATCAAACACATGGATAACAACTGTCATATTCCTGACTTGGTACAGGCATTTTCTTATGTAGAAAATGGTGGATTGAACGTGGTTTTATAGCTAGCTAAACCTCTCACTTGTATGACAGTCGCATCAAATTCCATTATATTGACAACGATGCGTGAACAAAACAAACAGACACAATAGGTAAAAATGTCAAAAATAGGTGTACAGCAGTCAACATTGTGTAATCATCTTAATCACTAAAAAAACAAACAAATGTAACGAAGAGTACAAAAAGGCATACATCAAATTTAACATCCTCATTATGCTTTTTTATTATACGATTTTATTTATCTTTGTAAAATCCACCCATAAAGGATGGAAGGTTTTAAGTACTGGCGTAAAATCGCGCGTTTGAAATTCGCACTAGTAGACATAAAATAACTTTGTCGTTCAAAGTATGACGGGATACATAAGTAGAGAGTCACGTCAAATGGATATCACAAAAAACAGACTTAACAGTAAAAGTAATATTAATAAATAAAATAATTTTGTTGTTCAAAGTCTGACGGGATACATAAGTACAGAGTCACGTCAAATGTTTATCACAAAAAACAGACTTAACAGTAATAGTAATATGATAAATAAAATAATTTTGTCGTTCAAAGTATGACGGGATACATAAGTATATAGTCACGTCAAATGGATATCTAAAAAACAGACTTAACAGTAAAAGTAATATTAACAAAGACAAATAAAAGAATACTATAACACGTTATTAAGATGATAAACAACGTCAGTACGCAGAATCTATACTTCAAGACCATCGTGTATTATTTGTGAAGTTGATACGGAATATTCATCAACAAGGTCTTGGTACCTTCCGATGAACTTTTTTAGAAAAAGGACGAGACGTTCTTTGACATACCCCTTGTTCATCAACTTTCTGCTCACTGGTGACGTTTTACAAAGTCTGAGTAGGAGCTGCAAGCTCTTGAATACCGAATAATAAAATTGAAATCGTCCCGTTTGTCAAAAAATATCTTAATAGCAAAAAAATCGTAAGGGGTTCCGCGGAACCCTGTGTCTCGCCTGCGATTGCTGCTATCAGTGCAAAAGTGTAAAGTTGATTTAAAAAGTTAATCATTTATTAGTATAAAAAACATAAAAAAAATACTTTATAAACATACATATACTATGATCATAATAAAAAAAAAGACATTTATATATCAACATACGACCAGTCTCCAAAAAATGTTATATGTCAATCCAGTATGCCAAGCTTTGAAGGGCAAGTACGATAAGGGCCTTATTCGTCACCCAACATTAAATGGTAATTAGTAAATAAATATGAAGACATGCACAAGTAAAACAATAACAAACGATACAGTATCAAAATGCATGCTTAATAAAGTTTTTTGGTAAATTTTTTTGATTCTATTATGTTGATGGCCTCATAGTGAATCTAAAATAGCATTGCAGAACTTATCACCTTCTTAATAGCAAATGATCTTATAATAATATGATAATTTGAAAAAGAATGGCGAAACTACTATCTTTTGAATTTCAATCGCTTACAATAGGTCTTGTATAACACATCACCTTTTTGAGTATTTTTTTTTCAAAAGTGAAAATAAAACCAAATAATATCAAAAGAGAAACATTTAATTGTAAGAATACCCATTATTCAAATATAGAAAAACAGGCGTTGGGCATTCCACATTGCAGTCCAACTACAATGAATAGACAAGGTATTAAAAAAAACAAGACCATACATATGTAAAGCTTTACATTTTAAGGATCATTTTTAAAAGATGTGAGATACCGTTTGAAATAAATCATTTGTGTTCTTATATGTTTAAATTTTAATACGCTTCATTCCTTGCACTTTTCGATGCCTATTATGAATGAAAAACATTCAGGTGGAAGCGGTCATACTTTTCTAAGACAAAGAAATAAACAAATAACCAAAGAAAAAGTAAACGAACAACATATATATCTGTTTGAAAAATAAAAAAATCGTTAAAAAGGTACAAACGCAGATGAATAGGACAGTACCCCTCCGTTTCCTGTGTAAATACATTCCCCCCAAAAAGATATTGGTAAATCTTAAAAATTGTATAAACCTTTTATAAGTTTTATAATCCACTACAAATTATATACAAGGCTATTCTGAATGAATTAAACTTCAAAGCGAAAACATATTCCACTTTCATTAGCTAAAGACGGCTAGCTTTTTAGAAAAGCTATTACTTGTGATAATAGTTATCAAAGGTACCAGGCTTATAATTTGATTCGCCAGACGCGCGTTTCGTCTGCATAAGACTCATCAGTGACGCTCAGATCAAAATTGTTAAAAAGCCAAACAAGTATAAAGTTGAATACCATTGAATACCAAAAATTCCAAAAAGTTGTGCCAAATACGGCTAAGGTAATCTATGCCTGGGATAAGAAAATCCTTAGTATTTCGAATAATTCATAAGTTTGCAAACAGTAAATTTATAAAAATGACCATATAATTGATATTCATGTCAACACCGAAGTGCTGACTACTGGGCTGGTGATACCCTCGGGGACGAAACGTCCACCAGCAGTGGCATCGACCCAGTGGTGTAAATAGGTACAGATTTAATATTAGTTTATTACAAAACTACTTTTTTATTAAATATTTTGGTTAAAGGGAATCTGACTTACCTTTAGAGTAAAACTGAAAATATAGGCTATATTTTTTAGAAATTATAGGTATGATGTGCAATTACTACATCTAGATATTTAATTGACTTTGTACAGATTGTCCATCAATACTTTAAGACAAGCTCTTAAAATCGAAAAGGCAACATCCATTGAATGTAATTAAAGGAAACAAATAAAGATTTTACTTTAGCTAATTACAATGAAAACGACCAAAAAATAGAAACACCGACTGTTTCTGAATTATAGGCTCCTAACTTTGTATATGTCAATGTAAACTGGGCTTTTAAGCTGTCATCAAAACAAAAATTATTGCATATTATGTCATTGAAGGTGCAATGGATACATTTGCAAGGGGACTGGAAATAGCTGCCAAAATTTTAACAGATGGAGTTATTCCTAGACAAGTCAAGGTAATAGTTATGTATAACATTTATCGCCAAACGAATAGGACTAGTTTTTCAAAAACATGTTCTATATATTGATATTGACCCATCATTCCTACAACGATAAGCTACTTTATCCCCAACGAATGATTTTTTTTTCTAAATTACGTATATACAAAAATGTAATACGTTAGAAAGCGTAATGTACTATTCCCTTCTGCTTAAGGTTGAATTATTTCCTATCTATCCATACATCATGTGTTATTACTGGTATACTATGACTTATTAGTATTAAATATAAAAAGTAATACTCCCTTTCGATTTATGTTGCAGGAAAGATATAGCAGCTATGACACAGGTGTTGGAAAGAAAATTAATAAAGTTCAAACGTCGTTGGAAGAATTAGAGGTAATTAAAATATGTTTATGGGATATAGAATGGCGTCATTAATCTAATATCGGGGGAGATGCAATGGACGGAATATATCACGTTTAATCATGCTCATAGTATATACTCGAATAAATATTTATACTTTCATATAATATTAGCTTGATGTTTCTAGGCCTAGGATCGTAGAATTTGGATCTATAGTATTCCAACACTGTTGTACATTACTGAATCAGACATTTGTAAAATTCAAGTAAGGATTGCTCCATAATTCGTCCGTTTACCATTGGTGTGGTTATCGTTGATATTTCATATAATGCTAAATCATAATTTGTATAAGACAAAATATTGGCACCATACTTTAATAATGTGCAACTTCAGATTTTCAGTAAGTAGATTTTTAAAGTATGTTTTATTTAATGAATATAAATTTGTGAATGAAGTAAATTTACATCAATTAAACGAGTGATAGCTGCAAATATAAGATCTCTTTAATCTTGTAAGTAACAAGTGGACTACAATGTATATGACTAAGTGTAAGTCATTTCTAGATTCTTGATATTGTTTAATCCAAACACACTACTTTAACATGAAACAAATTTTCATAATCAAATACTTCATACCACACTTTGCGATCACTCCTGTTTTTCAAGTAGCCTATCGAGATACTTTAACTATCTATATGACCTAAACTTAAGTCATGTCATTTTTCAAATACTACTTTTCACTAATATACTCAATACATTATTCAACTGTTTTATTTTGTTGCCATGACTGTTGACTGGCCCAACAATCCAAGTTGTCTAGTCCTTAAATAAGATGGTATCGAAATACGTCAAATGTATTATATAATAATATGCCAATACTCTGTATTCTGCATGTTCTGTCAGATTTCTAATGTTACTTTAAAAGAGAGCCGAGAGAAGTCAAGAAGATATTCAAACTCATAAATCGAGTTTAAACTGACAACGCCATGGCACGAAACGAAAAACGACAAAGAGACAAACAACAGTATATGTATTTATCAATTCACATCAAACATAGTAATGATAATAAGCAAAAGAATAATAATAAACATAGTAACAATAATAAGTTATTGTAAGTAGTAGGCAATATTGCATGTTCTTAAGATGTTAGGAAATACAATAGAAAGTTACAAAGAAAAAGAAGAGCCTTTTTGTTTAATTAGCTCTTTGTATTAGGTTTCGAATTTTCAAATATTCTTGGCCTCGAGCATCACTGAAAAGACATTAATTGTCGAAATGCGCATCTGTTGCAGTAACATTGATACCGTTTGTTGTTACTTATAACAATTCATGACAAAGCCAATTATTCTTTGATCTCATCTAAAGAATCAGACTTTACAAAAAAAAAACATAAAGAAAATCAGGTATGTTATATCGCCAAAACCTTTTTGCACTGCGTAGTTCCATGTGTAAGTACCGCCATCATACATGTATGGCTAAAACAGTGTGTAAAGGTTTGCATTTTTATAACTATTCACAATGGATTATGCGCGCAATTACAGAGTTATTGTCGGTTTTTTTCTTATCTAATATACATACTGCTCCTTGGAATTGACAGTTTAAAGTCGGTCATTAGTTTCAATCTGCTATTACCAAAAATGATTGTGTAAGCAGCAACCTTCAAGATCAGAGAGTTATCACTCAAGGGAAATCTGTGGGAAATAGTGTTTCCTGGAATAGTTTTCACACTTACCCAGATTTTCACTAGAACAAAGCGGTTAAAGCAAAATTGATTCTCTTCCAGATTGATGTTCTTATTTATCTTAAAATATTTTTAAGTCAATTCCTTCTACCGCGGTAACATATTATAACGAGTCAATTTCCAAGGTAAAATATCATGACCTATTTGTTTAAGGACATAGCACGGTGAAATATGATTTAACTCCTCATTTAAAGGGTCCTCTACTTAATGTGTCTGTTACTACATTAAATGTTTTGCCCTCTGTTTACGGGGATCATTACTGCTGTAGAATAAAATGCCTCCGTTTAAGGCGTCTGCTCCAATATTAAATATAATAACACCACGATTTAAGGCGTTTGTTCCCACGACTGTAAAATATCTCAATTTCAATCAGGCGTCTGTTTACACGATAAAATATTATACATGTACCGCTTCTGTTTAAGTAGTGACTACTATACATAACGGTTTGGTGTATTGTATTTAAATTATTATATATTTTCTTTTTAGGAATATATAATGAAGAAAGGAGAACCAGAAGTTGCCTCAGGCCGACAAGAACACTATGAATCAATGCTCAATTCTTACATGTGAAGAACAATGTTTAATTTAGATGTTTTAGTAGATATCTGAAGATTGATTTAGATACTTAATTCTGTAGCAGTTTGTTCATGATAGGATTCGTTTTATTAAAATGTAAAATTCATTACATCGGTTTTGTAGTTACTTAATATGTTTCCATTCGATGCATATTGTTTAATGAATTCTTTTGCAGTTGAGAGGTTTCATTTATTTCTATAAATGGACAATTAAGTCATTTATGCCAAGTAAATCAAAATTCATTGTGCTCTTTATCTGAGAATATTTTTAATTTCCTCTTATTCGTCTGGCAGTTAATCCAATCTTTTATAATATTAGTACTCTACTCATAATGATTTTTCTCATAAAGATTTTAGGTCAGTGTTATGATTTACTGATTTGATATCTGTATTGAGGTGTTGAATGACTGAAATCAACGGAGTCAAAATAAAAATGAGTTAAGAGGCCATGTCAATAAGCATTGATCTTCATACTGTACAAACCTTGAATGTGCAAACATTTAGATTCAGTTTGAAATGCTCTTAAATGATTTGTTATGTCATAGAGTATATGTTAAAGAGAAAAAAAATTCAATCATGTCCTTGTATCTTGTATCTAAAGAAAAATGTTCTTGTTAATATGACCAGCTGCGGCTTGGCTGAATACTAAACCATTAATGAAACACAACTTTGCATGATGGTCGAGTGGCAAAGATCACTTTCGTCAAGGATGAACATTCAAACACCTATTTCGTTTCTCGTAATCCACTTACTTACTATTTTTTTAGTGTTCTAAGATCAGCAGCTTACTTATGGTTTTGTTTAAACATTGTAGTTGTATGCCATATAATCATGTGTCACCTCCCACGTAGTCGAGAAAGCGAGACTTGGGTGTTCTGATCTTAGCGTCGGCGTCAACAATTGTTAAATTTTGATTCGGTTAGTTTAAGGGGAACCATAAATGATAAGGCAATAATATTTGGTAGACATGTGTATTAGCATTTGCACATCGCATTTCCATGAGAAATATTTGGCTTTGCCCTCCTTAGTCATGGTAAATTGCATCGTTTATATGTTAAAGTTTGTGATGAGGTCAGGTTAAGGGAACCACTCATGTATGTAAATTATGGTATTCGGTTGTTTAAATAGCATATTGGCATTTTCATGGCATATCGTTGAGACCAATAAAAACAGAAAACACCATGGCTAAAAATAAAATCGACGAATAAACCAACAACAATGTCAAACCATTACACAGATTGAGCAACACGAATCCCACCAAAAAAACAAGGAATCAGGCGCACCGGAAGGGTAGGCAGATATTGCTCCACATGGGGCATCATTTGTGTCGTTCATGCAAGAGAAAATCCTGTTATAAGTCGATTTGGTATTCTGTAATGTCACAATCGAGGTAAAGAGGGCGGGATTTAAGACAAGTGGGACAAATCCGTGAAATATATCATTACTAAAAAAAAATTTTGTGTAGATCTGCATTACATCAGTTGAATACATATTAATAGATGTGGCATATAAGCCAACCACTGAGATAGCAAACAATCTTGTGTAGATCGGCATTACATCAGTTGAATACATATTAATAGATGTGGCATATAAGCCAACCACTGAGATAGCAAAAAATCTTGTGTAGATCTGCATTACATCAGTTGAATACATATAAATAGATGTGGCATATAAGCCAACCACTGATATAGCAAAGGACAAGGATGTAAATAACTATAGGTGACCTTTAACAATGAACAAAACACGTAATGAAAGCTCAAAAGCTCCAGGCATGACAAAAAGAGAAAACTGAACGGCCTGAGTCCTGCTACCAGGCTCTTACTTCCTTACAACTTGCTCGGAATTTTTAAAGTGCTATATTCATTGCAAAGACTTGGACAATTTAAGCTTGACATATTAAGTAGACAATGGTCTTTTGTTCAAGCTGTATGTTGAGGTATACTCCATATGATTTTATTCATACAAACCCAACAGAAAATCTCACTTCACCTCCAGTTTTATTGGAGTTCGTGTTGCATTTTTTGTTTAAGTTTTTTTTTCTGATTTCCCTATGGAATCTTCAAACTTTACTTACAAGCCTTTAACAATTTTTTTTCTGGAATACTGCTCGGGGCTTTCTACTTGTCGTTGATATACAATATGTTAAACGGCGCATCACTGATATGTGATTGCCTTTAGATATACAACATGTTTGACGGTGCACTACTGACATGTGATTGCCTTTAGATATTCAAAATGTTTAACGGTGCATTACTGATATGTGATTGCCTTTAGATATACAACATGTTTAACGGTGTACTACTGACATGTAATTGTCTTTAGATATACAACATGTTTAACGGTGCACTACTGACATGTGATTGCCTTTAGATATTCAAAATGTTTAACGGCGCATTACTGATATGTGATTGCCTTTAGATATTCAAAATGTTTAACGGTGCATTACTGATATGTGATTGCCTTTAGATATTCAAAATGTTTAACGGTGCACTACTGACATGTGATTGCCTTTAGATATTCAAAATGTTTAACGGCGCATTACTGATATGTGATTGCCTTTAGATATTCAAAATGTTTAACGGCGCATCACTGATATGTGATTGCCTTTAGATATTCAAAATGTTTAACGGTGCATTACTGATATGTGATTGCCTTTAGATATTCAAAATGTTTAACGGTGCACTACTGACATGTGATTGCCTTTAGATATTCAAAATGTTTAACGGCGCATTACTGATATGTGATTGCCTTTAGATATTCAAAATGTTTAACGGCGCATTACTGATATGTGATTGTCTTTAGACATTCAAAATGTTTAACAGCACATTACTGATATGTGATTGCCTTTAGATATTCAAAATGTTTAACGGCGCATCACTGATATGTGATTGCCTTTAGATATTCAAAATGTTTAACGGTGCATTACTGATATGTGATTGTCTTTACATATGATGTACATATAATCTAGATGAGATCCGTCAAATTATGGACATTTTACAGACAAACTCAGATCAATAGATTCCAAAGATAAAAAAAACTATGCACATCTCATGATAAACCCGCCTGTTATATCAAAGATCTACAAGAGGGAAGGAAGGTATACCAGATCTTTATGTAAGAAAACTTTGAACGTTCAGACTAGATAGTTTGTAAACAGAACAAAGAGTGTAATATATTTATTATCTAAATATTTATGTCTAGGATAACTAAATCTGATAGAGGTTTATCTTATGTTTAAAGAATCTGTAGTATTCACATTTCATTTCCACGCATGGTTATTATATGTGTGATCTGGCATCAACACATTGATTCATCATTGTGTCTGCTGCCATTGTTCAGATCTCATAATCAAGATGATTAAAGATGTCACAATCATTCTAAATGATTTTTAACACATATGAATGATATTGTCAATAATCTTAAACTGATTATTCTTATAAAATATGACTAAAACTTTAATATCATAACTTGTACTGATAAATAATAAGTATACCGTTTTACTAAAGTAAAAAGAAAAGGAATAACTTGGACAATAAAAAAAATCAAGCCGTAGAAAAACCAGTACACAGAAAATAAATATTGAGCGTGTTGCTAACCTGACCAAAAACAAAAAGTGAGGTCAGGTGATCCGAAAAGTTATTTGTATAATCTGAAGGCATGTAAACAATTACTATAATATAACTCTGAAACCATGAATGACACTAAGCTATATCATGCACATTTATTTCAATAATTTTGATTTCTTATCTTTTTTTATATTTTTAATAGATTTGACCTTTGAGTCTATCATTACGTCTTTTGTCATTTGTAAATTAAAAGAATGTGTCATACATGTGTATGTATTTAGTCTTTCTCATACATGTGTATGTAGTTAGTCTTTCTCATACATGTGTATGTAGTTAGTCTTTCTCATACATGTGTATGTAGTTAGTCTTTTTGAGGATATTTTACAGTTAATCAGTTTAGAAATGAAATCAATAATACTTAATAGCTAGTATTTTGCTGTCATCAAACCTTGATATATGACACACGAATCGCTACTAAATCATGTCTTTTAGTGGTTAAACTTTGTTTGACAAAACTTGTACTGTTTGTTGATAAATGATTAGTATATGTGAATAGGCAACTTGGTTTTCAAATCATGAACTGTCTTTTTATCTTTGTTTAATTGGTTTTCATTCTGTTGGTATCTGCACTGAGCAGGTTTTTTTATTGTTGTATTTTCATTTGTGACATTTAATCTATATAAAATATAGGTAAAGGGGACGCACGTTACAACCTTGTTTAACCCCAAATAATGTTTGCCAATCTGTAAGTTTTCACAAAATTGTTGATTTTGGTATCATAAGAATCTTTCGTCGGCTACATAAGAAACAAATCTTTTCTGTATTATTAAACAAAGATACGATGATCGTCCTTTTATTTCAAGGGGATGAGATTATAGAAAATTGCCAAATATATTAAATATCAGAGAGCTCCCAAAACATGTTGAATGTTCGGTAGCCTAAAAGCTTTGTTCTGATTGGTTTAGAATGAAAACATCGTTCAATCCATAATACATGTGATTGATACACATGAGTGTATAGATCATCTTTAACTAGTACTATGTCGCTCTAAAACTTTATATAGCTTCCACTCAAAAGCTCTGGGGATTAGGTATCACAAGATCATCTTTCTACCAAAACTCTAGTTAATCTGAAATTTAGATAGCTTCTACTCAAAACAGTTATGGTTGGTAGAAATCAGTCAATATCATCTTTCTACAGTTAATCATAACATAATCATAACACATTTGTTCCGCGGAAATTCTTGTAGCTTCTACTAAAAGAGTTCTGGTAGTCATAGGTATCACAGGCAAGATCATCTTTCTTTTTAAACCGGCGTTCCTCGGAAATTATTGTAGCTCCTTCTAAAAAAAGTTCTGGTTTGCATATGAGTCACAATCAAGGTGATCTTTCTCTGAAACTTTTGTTCCCCAGAAACTTAAGTAGCTTCCATTCAAATATTCTGATTGTCAGGCATCACAAGGCAGTGCTTATTTTCATCTAAACTCTTTGATTTTTTTTTTTAAAGTCTATGATCATTCAATGATTTCCTTGTTATTTAAATG